AGCAGTACATGACGATAGAGTCAATAATATATATATATATGCATATATATATGTATATATATTCGGGACTATTTTTGTCTAGTGGACAAAATCTCTAAACGAAAGGAAAAACTCGCAATAACTCTCACGCATGTAAATAGTGCGACTTTGATTTCATTGACAAAATTCTACTCCAATCTCTGAAAATTGCAACAACGGGACAAAGTATAGAAAAAAAAAGAAAGCAAAAAGAAAAGAAAAAAAGAAAAGGAAAAGCTGGAAAAGGAAAACGCATTTGCAACAACAAGCGGCAGGACTAAAATAAGGAGCTTACCCGAAGAGCTTAACTAATTGTGATTATTGTCGTATTGAAAACAGTATCGCGAAAGGAAAAGAACACTTTTTCTTACAATATTAAATCAACTCCTCCACACTCTCTCCCTCTCCCTGTGACACTCACACTCACTCACTCACTCACTCATTCACTCACTCTCTCTCTCTCTCTCTCTCTCTCTATCTCTCTATCTCTCTCTCTCTCTATCTATCTATCTATCCATCTATCCGTCTATCTATCTCTATCTTTCTATTTCTTTCTTTCCTGCTAATTGAGACAAGTTAAGCCACTCGTTAAATCGAGCGTGTGAGAAAGAGGGCGCAGGTCTTCTAAAGAGTAAAAATGTAAGTATTGATTTTTTTTTTTCTTTTCTAACATTTCCTTACAATAATTGCATACGTTTTGGCACGCACACAAACGCGTAACTACTGCATACCATTTAGAGCTCCATAATACAATAATTGTGTCAACTTGTGCCTCTGTTACGACGTAGGAAACGTTTGTTTATAATAATTTCATCATCATTTCAAATTGTTCAGATTGTCTCTTGTAAATACATTATTATTTGCTAAAATTTTCTATCATCGAGTCGTCTATAAGATGAACTGCTTTCGGTCATAATCGCAATCATGAATCATCATATCATATAAGTCAAAGGTTCGTTGAAAACTTGAAAACGTAGGATTTATTAAAAGATTTTTTAGTTTAATACATACAATACAATAGATAGATAGATGTGTATGCAAATGATATTAGAGCGCTATTTTAATAAACTTGATTTATAGCTGGATATATATATATATATATATATGCATATATATGTTGTGGGATCTTACTTGTATATATCAAATTTATATATGAAACGCTATAGCTATTTCTTACACAATTATATAATGTGGTAGTAGTATACACATTCACACACTCAAATACGATATCTACAATGTTTCTCATATTCCTCATCCATTGGTAGGGAAATATTTTATCAATTATACCCTTGTACGTAGGTATTGAAGTTTTTCTTCCATTTTACGCTTTCTAATGACTTAGAACGATCGAGCAGATAAATATATATATATATATGCAGTAGAGGAAGGCAATAAATATTTATAAAAAGCCATTCAAAGCCCTATAAATGATGGCTCATAATAATTAAAAATTACTTATAGAAAATTTAAGAGAAATCGATTTGAAACAGAAAGGTTGTGTACGCTTTAATCCTTCGAAACTTGTAAGTTTACGTTTTTCTGGCCTTTTGTTTCTTCTTTCTTTCTTTTGCCAATGAACATGACGTGTAAAAGTAAGGCATGTGCCAATTAACAAATGAAATTATGTTCGCTTAAAGCAAATCTTAAAGGAAAAATTCTGAAGATTTTCGCTGACTTAGACGGAAAATATATGTATGTAACAAATACGGGATCGATATTTCCCGTAGCCATATTTGGCAATTTTCATTTTCTCTAACGTTTCCATATGTTTTCAGTGTTGCGCGTGAAATAAACCCAAAATCAAAAGCTTAGTCTGCCGATATAAAATAGAATTGTACAATGGCGGGTTGAACTTTTTTTTTTGGAATTTTATGATGTGTGGGCGGGCAGATGTACATTGGTTATGATTACCTCTTTGATGCGTATTCTTAAACGATAATGAGATATCTAAAATATTCCATGATATTCGTGGATGCATTCGATGTGTATAACAAGCGTGAAGTCTTTTTGCATCACCAGCATTTTGCCGGTCGAGACCATTGTCTTGCCTTTAAATTTTCTTGCTATCTTGCTTTGTAATAAATTTTACATTGTCCTTTATAGAAGCTATGAGAGTAAATCATAAGGAAGACATTTTCGTAGCAATTATAAAAAGGGTCATGTTTGCTTTTAAAGTTGACAAGCAGCCGTCAATTAAAATAATGTCTATCAACTTTCTGTTTTCTATCGCAATTTGCACTTATATCAAATTTAAGATATTAGTTGAAAGACCATCGGGCAGATGGATGATTTAGAATCTTTCGCCAGTTATATATATTCTTAAGTTACTACTTACTTTTAAATCGGCTCAAGCACGACACGTAGAGAATCGAAGAAAGTCATCCACTATCCATGAAATCAGACAGTGACCGGTTTCTTTCTGAAATAATCCAAGCACAATGACCAATGAAGAGGCAAGCATGACTCTTCGGATGCCGTGCGCTTCTTTTTTCTTATGTACGTAGCCACTCAGGGTATGACCTATACGTATGGGCGCGGTAAGGAAGGACGAAAAAAATATATCATCTTTTCTTCGAACCAGTAAAATGTTTAATCTGTTCACGGGAACTTCGTCACTGCGATTGCATTGATAAGCACTTTGATGACGTATATGTTTGGCATGATGCATTTACCTCAACATTGGCTGCGGGAAAATGTATCAATAGGGAATCAATTGTTTTGGTTAAAACGACCTAAGCGCCGTAGCAGAGGTTCGTGATACATAAAAGACCTTCTCGTATTCTCGTAATAGGTTTCCATAGAGTATTTGCAATGCAAACGAATAAACTTTGAAACTTTGTGTGGAAAATAAATTTTCCATGCATTGGCCATTAGCCAAGGGCAAGTATTATCCAAAAGTAGTCGAAGATTTTGCCGACACAGAGCGAATTTACTGGCGAGCAACGTTGGCCACATGCATGCGGTAGGCAAGAGAGAAAGAATATTCATGAGTGATTTTTTAAATTGATTTGCATTGATTTGTCCCAACTACAGATTCAATTTGTATATATGTATGTGTAAATATGTATAGACGTATAATGATCTCCATTGATTCATTCGAATTCATTATCAATAACTGCGACAATATCTTGACCCAATTTAGACACAGTGACGGACTATACTAAACTAATGTGAAATTCAAGTCACTTCCGCAAAATGATGATTGATTTTCATTCTCGAAAACTTGTATTTTATATGTTTTTGAAAAAGTTTAAAGCAAAAAATTTTTATTCGTTAGATAGTACCGCCGTACATGTTTCATATTATAACGAATTAATCTAGAAGTTAACGATACACTTTGGAATTGTATATACGTTGCAGTTTTGCGCTTCACTTTACTATTACTATTACTTTTAATATGAACGGCACTCTCTGATATGATACGTGTAGGCACTTTTTAGGCTAGTGCTTTAAAAATAATAATTACTTTTTTTTTTCAAAATTTCGCTATTCATTTAAATAAAATATTCTTTCCGTTTACCGCAGTTGAAAACAATACCAAATAAAAACAAGAAAAAGAAAAGCAAGAAAAACAAGAAAAAAAAAGAAAAGTAAATCTCTTTGAAAACAACCGAACTTTAACTAAACAGTAAGAAAAATGGGCAAAAAAGACAAAAAAGATAAAGAGTAAGTGAAGAAATTTTATTACAAAATGCTTTAAATCTTGTAGAAGGGCTAAGTAAGAAGAACTAATAGAGTACAAAGATAAAAATAAACGAAATTCGATTGATTTTAATAAATGTTTGTTTAACTAAAAAATTAGGAAAAAATTGTTGAAATTCTATTCTAAAAATGGTTTTGTATAAAATTTTTCCACACAGGGCGGAACCAGCACCAGCAGCCGATGCTCCACCAGCAGGCGATGCCCCACCAGCCGGTGAGGGCGGTGATGGTGAGATTGTTGGCGGACCCCGAAATCCTCAACAAATCGCGGCACAAAAGCGTTTACAGCAAACTCAAGCACAAGTCGATGAGGTAATCAATCTGAATACTAAATATTTCTTCGCCCATCGTTTCTCCGCGCCCCTTTTTAAGATTTTGCTTAAATGCTTTTTCGCATTAATATAGCAAACGTTTAGAAAGTCAGTAAAAAACGAAAAAATAAATAAATAAATAAATAAAAAGAAAGCCGTCACCGCATTCCTATACAAAAAAAAAAAAAAAAAAAAAAAAAAAAAACGCTTGATCGGCTATGTCAGTCGATCTGTCCGTTTCAGAGTTTCTCGCCCGAAACATTGAGTTTATCTTAATCTTAATGTTAATCCTAAATTTCTTTTCAACGTAACACGATTACAATCGTAAATCACTAAAATTGGTGGACAAGTTCCTGCAGTAGTAATCCAATAACTCAAAGTCTACATCCTAATGCTCTCAATCTCTTCAATAAAACCAACATCTCATTTATAGTATAACTTATGCTCTTTCGGTGAATAGGTAGAAAAAAGGGCTCGTGTGTAAATGCATCTAAATGTATTCTCGCATCTTTTCCTGAGTAGACAATTATTCATCTCCAAATATCAAAGATGCTCTTCCTTGCCACTAAATAACCCGTGTACTCTCATGTCTTTCGAGAGGAAATTGATTAGACAAGTTTACACAAATTTCGTATATTCTTTGAGAGTCAATTTTTGTCCAATCCTATATGGGGTTTATATAAAAGGCGCATGTACTTTTATACTCTCATATGTCATTGTATGCAATGAATGCTGTTAGGATGTTTTACATGACGTTTCATACAAAATTCGATCATTTCGATTTATGCGTGAATACATTTCTCAAAGGCGCCATTATCGGGCCAGCTGTATATCTGGGTAAATAAAAGTTGCATTTATCAAGTGGGTGTTTGGCGCATTCAAATCTCATTACGGTCTGACCGCATGTAGTTGCAGTTAGGGTAAATGGCTCAGCCGGTAAAGACGTAACACTCCAAGCCATTGACAGAGATAGGCATTTTTTCTCCCTTGAGAATACAATGTCCATATGCGTTGCGTTGACTGATTCCATATTCCTTCAATCCCTTTTGCGGATTTTATCCATTTGCAGAAGCGTTCAAATTATATGGGATCTAACACAAAGTATATCCAGGAGTTTTTCTTATACTTCTTTCAGTATTTTCTTCTCCTTTATTTCTGGTACCACTGGTGGGTATCAGCAAATGCCGAAGATGAGCCCCAGCTTCGGCCTGATTCGGCAATTTCGTGGCATATTAAACATTTAACGTTTTAGAAGAGGAGTCTCGCACTTGCCAAGCGAAGGATTCGCCATATACATGTTCTTATTCTGGAAATGAAAGATAGCCTCCCTTGGTCTCGTCTTAATGCTGCTTAATGTGTGTAGGGTTGTACATCTGCGGCCATCCTTTATCTCTTTCTCTTTCCCTTCCACACTTCGATATCACCATACTACATGTGTAGTGCACATCCCTTGAATAATTGGACATATTATCATAAAAAAAAAAAATAAAAAAATTGATCGGGAGATTTGCTTTTGCATATATATATTAAAAGCATTCGATTTACGGTGATCTTTGATGTGCAGCCTAGACAAATTCTAAGATTTCGGAATTGTTTGCGCGCCCACTAGCGACTAAGTTGCGTCGAGTTTGCCTCAAGTTTAGAATTTGAATTCAGGTTTTTAAACTCTCTCTTACAGGATCGTACAAGATTCGAAAGTTTCGCATCTACAATTTCCTATATGATATATATATATATATATATATATATACGATATTGTGACGTATGATTTGAGGTTTTTATTTGGCTTATTTTATGTATCGTTGTCTTCGTATCATTGACTTGTGATTATTAGTTTAATCTTTACAATATTTATTTACAATTGATAGGAAAATTATTTAAAGGGATTTGTATTTACAATGCTTTTTCCGGTCTTGTCCGTGCCCTTACGTATTATAGTACCCGATACCGATAATGCTTTAATCTCTCGTTTAAATGTTAAACTTTTCGATAGTGGCCAGCCGCACGACGCAGGAATGTGTGCTGGGTTCTGGATTTTGTTTCCTTAAAAAATCGAAAAAATTTCCTGCTCAGATTAACAAAGATGGGATTTTCGTAAAAATATATCGTCTTGGTCACCGTGAATAATTGAATCGATTAACTTACTCATGCCTATCTATTTTATGTATAAAAATTTTCTTGTTACGTGACAATTAGCGAGGCCAGAGTGTTATTTTTCGAGTATATAGAGCAATAGCATACAAGTATGTGGTATACGATAGGCCAAAGGGTTCGAGTCAAATCAAATAAAACTTCTTTCTCGTACGTTTTTGTTTTTTTTTTTTTTGATTCTAATATCATTTATCTGCTTCGATCTCTTTTGTCAACAGGTAGTGGATATAATGCGAACAAATGTAGAAAAAGTGCTTGAACGCGATCAGAAACTGTCCGAGTTAGATGATCGAGCCGATGCTTTGCAACAGGGTGCTTCGCAATTTGAACAGCAAGCTGGTAAATTGAAACGAAAATTCTGGTTGCAAAACTTAAAAGTAAGTCAATGAAAATTAAAAGTCCGTTCAGATGAGACAGAATAAATGATAATATCAACAATAATGTATAATTTGTAATTCAGATGATGATTATTATGGGCGTTATTGGACTGGTTGTTGTAGGCCTTATTGCAAGTGAGTAAATTAAATTTATAAAAAGTTAATATTTTCGCAATAAAATTATTTATAAGATTTTCAAAACTTTTTTAAAACAATTAACATCACATTTACATTTAACGTAAATGCAAAAAAAAAAAAAAATAAAAATAAATAAATAAATAAATAAATAAATAAATTTCCCTGTTTTAAAACAAAACATATACAAAATTAATTTATTATATTTTATTTGATTTTATTTTATTTATTTATTTATTTTTTTTTAGGTAATTTTATGTAAAATTTGCTAGCATTTCTTCCTTTCAAAAACAAAGAACAAAAAAAACGTTAAATTCAATTCTGAATAAATTCGAATTTCATACATCATCATAATATGTTTAAGTAGCAAAATTTGTTTTGGTTTTGGAGTTATCATCAACTATTAGTCAACTTAACTCATCCGTGCTGAAGCAACGTATCACTAAAACGCACATAAATAAAAAATATATTTGAAAGAAAACAAAAAAAGAAAAAACAAAGTTCAAGTTGCTGTTGGCTTAGAACGCACGACTAACACGATAGTATTCTTGGTAAATTGGCACAAAGGTTCGCTATATAGTAATTTTTAATGAATCTTTTTTTATTTTTTTTATTTTTTTTTCTTAAATAAATTAGATTTTTTCTACATTTTTGTTTATGTAATTAAAAGTTGGTTTACTTGTTGGTTAAACTTAGTATTCTTGTTACATTTTATTTTTGCTGTTCACCTATTGTTTAGATAAGAACTTTTTTCTATGTACACATATACATATGTACCCCTATGCACAATATGTGTTTTAAATTAATTTTTTTTATTTTTTTACCTCAAACTCAACTATAATTTGTTCTTAAAAAAATGACCTTAACAGCTCTTAAACCTATATGTAGAGCAGAGCGAAAAGTTTTTTTGGATCAGCGATAAGAGCAAATCTCTCGAACTAATTTGATTGAACAATCTTATACCACATTTTCCTATCAATATACACATAACAGATATTTTCCTACAAACAAAAATAATATATATATATATATATATTTATTAAAAAGTCTTGCCCAATTGAAAATATTTACAGAGACAGCTCTATTTATCCCTCTACTTTGATTATAAACATAATCGACTTAACGTTTTAGCTCGCTTGGCAATAAAGGATCTAGCAATTCTCCTATTCTCCGTTTCGCAAAATTTTCTCTTTTTTTTCTTACTCTTCGTCTTTTTGCTGCCGAATCATCATCTCGTGCAAAAGAAGCAAAGTCTCATTGCGCGTAATATCGCATAAAGTAAATATTGAACATTTTCTCAGTTCTATATTCATTCCAATTCAGATCAGTTTACCCTTAAGTGTGATGATCGATATCATTTTGAATTGGATCAACTAAGAGACAGAGACTCATAGCGAAAGACCGACCAATCGATCAATGCGCACCAATCGCACAACATATGTGAAAAGTATTTTTGAACGTGTGAGGAAAATTTCGTTGCATCACTGTTCGCAACACTTTATAGAGAATCATTTCGCATACTATATCTATATCATATCCAAAGCAATATGCGATATTCGTAAATAACTTTCTCGTTACATCACGTTCGGGAAGGTCAATAGGAGACATTAATTGAAGCAAATTGCCGAACGAAAATTCACGAGATCACTGACAGTTTAAATCTATTGCATTCCACTGTTCTTGATAATCGATTTTTGTTTTGGTCAACAAACGGAAAATTCCCTCTAAATCATCCAATAATTGGAGCTTTTTCTGGCCCCAATCGTGATATGGAAATGAAAAGAAGAGTTGCCCATCCAGTTGGTCTATTTAGGAAAAGTTTATATCTCTTGCCTAAGCGGTAGGCGGATCGGTCCATTTTCAAGGATCCATGGTCGTTGTATTCTATTAATCGCTTTAAGTTACTTCGCCTATTTACATATCTTACTCATATTTGTTAAGCTGTTCCTTCAACCATAAGGAATTTGGAATTTTGTGGATTTGTGTATGTTTTTTTTTTTGCTTTGCTCTGTGAGCTGGAGGTATAAAATCTTCGAAAGATACTGCTGGGTCTTAGTAGCAGCATACACGATTCGCCATCCCTGGCGCATACGTACTAAAAACTACCCCCCACACACACTTCGTCTACCAGTCTGCCCCGCGGGACCACCGTTAGGTATTACTTCGTGGGGGCTGGTTGTCGCTAGCACGCTCTTGATGGTGGGAGCTCAGTAGAATGCACTATCGGCTTCCACTCCCTCTACTCTCCACCCGTTGTCTCTCCAATCGTCGCAACTCCACGAGCGTATTGCTGGCGAATGCGTCTACGGTGTTCCAGGCTGCTGCACTGCCAACCATTGCGCTTGTTATCTCGTTAGGTGGCACTTGAGGCCGCCCATTCTCGAACCTGCTGCAGTAGGACATTACGTGTTCTACGTCCTCCTCTATATCCTCGCATACCGGGCAGTTAGGCGAACTGTCGTACCCGAATCTGTGCAGATATTTCCGGAAACAGCCATGGCCAGTCAGAAGCTGGGTTAAGTAAGGATTTGTGTGTATGTGTGTACGCGGGTGTGTGTGTGTGTGTGTGTGTGTGTGTGTGTGTGCAACATTGTTTTATAATAAAGTTGTTATTGGCAAATTTTGTTGAGAATATTGCTCTGAAACGCGTTAAATTTGGCACAAAGTCAAGCACACTATGACAAGGCTATAACAAAGCATTGTCATCTCGGTATGGGAACGTCAGAAGAATGCTATTAATAATCAACACATACCTATGTTTTCTTTCTATTTTTTTCCATTTAATTATTCCCATAGTTCGATAGTTCGCCAAAATAAAATGTAAAAAAATCCTATTCGGTTTAGATCAGTTCTTGTAATACCTACCTCTTGAATATCACTTTTTTGTCTTTACATATATATATATATATATATATATATTGGATATTATATTTTTCTAAAATTTGTTAGCATCACATAGATAATTATAGAAAGGAAAAATTATATCTATATATGCAGTTCGCGTTATTTATATGCTTTTCAAATTTATATATAAAAAAACAATCGAAGGTCAAACTCATAACAAGAAATTACGAAATTATGACGTCATTTTTGAAAAAAGGAGTTTTCACTAATTCTGACCGCTCGCAAGAGTCAACTTTGATTACTTTTGAGGCTTAATCTGGCGAAAGGAGTCTTGATCGCAGCAGAAAGACAGAAAGATATTCGTATACCGACCCTAGTGTGCATATATATATATATATATATATATTACTTGGTTTCCAAATGTGATGCAACTCCTGTGCTGGGTATAGAAATAACAGAAATAATTCGCGAATATTAAGTAGCCCTAGGGCCACAAGTTCGACAATTATGTTTGTTATCGTTAACAACATAACAACAACAAAAAAACAAACGTCATTCTTTACGATGAGCAAAACCGAAAATCCCGAAAATTTTTTACTAAGTACGAATTGATCAGTTAGCTGAATAAGGCTACGCAAGATATTCATTGAAAGTTTCAGATGAAATTATGTTAAGATTGTGAACTCACCTTCACTTTCCACTTTAGTTTATGGCCAAATTGTAACTTTCTTTGCCAGTTTTCGTCGCCATCTTTCCCAAATATGAGCGAAACTATTGCTTAATCGATTTATTTATTTATTTAATTATTAATATTTTTTTTTTTTTTTATCTCTGTAAATTAAATTCATACATATACATTTACGTAGTTTATTAATTTAGTCACTTTCGCGGCATTTTCTCCGAAGCCGACAAATAGCGTTTCCATCGTATTAACACAATATCTCATCTAGTTCTCAAGTTACAATCTCTCTCGTGTGAAAAAAATAAATTTTTGTTTATTTCATTTTAAAAGATACTGAACATAAAATATATATTCATAGATAATTCACTTTAACGATTATGAGTAACGAACGTTTTTCATAAGCATCTGCAATGTTTCGAACCTTTTTCATAAGATTCATTCACCTAAAAAAGTTAATCTTTCGGTTAAAATGCTGAACATATTTTGTAACTTTTGCACTTTAATTGAATCGAGTAATGTGAAGGTGATCTTGTGAAAATGAACTAACATAATTCATATAAATTATGAAAAATAATATTTATAAAACAATATTAATGCAATTATTTATTAACCTTCGTTTATCATAACTATAATTTTGCAGAGAAAGATGAGCACGATTAAGAAATTCAAACTATTTTTTAAAGCCAAAAACCAAAAAGAAACAAAAAAAAACATAGTTAAGAATACAAAAACAAAAAAAAAACAAAAAAAAAAAATATGCATAAGAAAAAAAAAGTAAATAAACCAATAAGAAATACGATTAAAGACAAGTCAAAGGTAAAATTTGAAATGAATTTTTTTAAGTAACGCTACAGTACAGTAAAAGCGGATTGCCCGTTGAAATGGCTCGAAGCGAAGCTTTTCTTTGATTTTATTATTTTACATTAATTAGCAATTCCTTTATATATATATTATTTGAAAATTTATTTTATTAAGGCGCTTTTATAATTCGACATATATTTGTAAAATGCAAACCGATGAAATATCGCATCCTTCCTTCCTTCCTTCCTTCCTTCCTTTTCGTTTTACAATCATGGGTAATATTTTTCTTTTTATTAAGAGAAATTTTCCTTCTTTTTTTTTTTTTTTTGTTAATTTTGTAGTCAAATGCTGTAAAAATGTATGTTATCCTCTTAATGCTCAATGACGTAGATGAGTAAAAGCGATTAAAAATTTTTTAAAATATATGTATGCATATGTATACATACATATTTATATTACATCATCATACATATATACGATTATGTGTTTATACGCTTGTATATATGCACATATTTTTGCGGCAAATATCGTCCAAGGTAATGGGTCCGTTCAAGTTCGCCTAATAATAATGAGAGACTTTAGTCCATGAACATGGACTAATGTGCATATACTTGGTATGGTACGATCACCTAACGGTATTACGAAAGTTAGGATAACAATTTCACCTCTGTTCATGGATAAAGGTTGAGATAGACATAGGAGAATAACTATCACCTGAACGTCTTACGGAAGTTTGGAGCAAGAATCATTCATCCATTCATGCATAGATTTTGAGACAGACATAGGAGAGTATCATCTCTGAAGATCTTACGGAAGTTTGGCTATTGAATTTCCACACATTCATGAATAGAGATGTTTATCTTATCTCGTCTAGTTCTAGTTCGCTGCATGTAACTCTGTAACATTACGATCTATTGTGAATACGACCCAATGTTTTGAATGAAACGATACAACTAAGCTTTGTATCAGTTGCATTCACTTATTGTTATTTGTGTTAAAAAGGATAATTCAATTTTTCTTATCAAGGGCAACTTTTTCAACCGTCTACCTACTAAATGACTTATATATTCGTAGTAGAGTAACTTGCAGAAGTTATTCTCTTATCTAATCGTAATGACGCGCCTCGTTAACATCAGCTAATGCCTAATCTAACTGTAGACAGCACAAGTTTGTTGCATCCGCCATACTTAATTTAAAATTAACACATTTTCAGTCAAACGACGATATCGTCAGGTGAAGAGTGTATAGAATAATTTTCAATATCCTTTCTTGTTAACCTTATGAGTTAGAGGTAGAAAATGTCGAAACAGTAAAAATAATAAAAATTTGATTGCTTAGTCGAATATGAGTGGTCGGATCTTCCATTAAATAAATTCGTTAGAATTTCACCCTACTATCTTTTATAATCTCTGAATAAGAATGCACAAGACTTTTGCTTAGAGAAACAGAGATTTGGTCAGCTTACGCTTTACTGTAGACATGGCCTTTTAGCAACATGTACCATTTTCAGTAGCAACCTGCCTGCAAGAATTTCATATTTTTTTAACAACATGCCACCCACTGACAGATGGACGGAAAGACGGAAAGACGGATACACAAGCAGCAAGAATATGCATACTTTATAGGATCGCTGAAATTTCCTTTTTGGATGTCGCGACACGATTACGACAAAATAAGTGTACAGAACACTATCATTCTTCAGCTATGGGTATGAAAATTATTTTTCACAATATATTTGGCATATATTGCTTATGAAAGAAATTACAAAAGTTCGTCTATTAATTAGCAAAGCAACGTAAGTGTTACCAAATGTTTTTCAACTGAACTCTAATGATCTGCTATTGGTGGTCAACAATAAATCATTGATAGATTTCCAGTTAGTCGCTAGTAATCATTGCTATGCACTAATAAAATGTGAATACCGGGAAATTCACTTATCATATTCAGCCTGTTAAACAAAAAAAGAAAAGCTAAATTCATCCGAATCGCCATCAAGACGTTGAAAGTAAACGGTTTGCAATTCTTCTCTAAAACGAAAGAAAATTCGAAAAACAAGAAGAACAGGAAAAAAAAAAAATAGAAGAAACTTATGCTAAGAATTTGAGCTGCGTTTCCTTGGCTTTTATAATGAACGTAATCTAATGTATAGATTGTGTATAAACATACCTTAATGTATGTATGTTTGTATGTTTGTGTAAAATATTGGAATGGTATAAAATGTGCTAAAGTTTAATAGACCCTTGGCCCGTGACGAATAAATACTGTAATTAATATTTAATTGTCGTTAATTGCAAGAGCGTAATCATTATATTCATTAAAATAATGTGTACTTTGTATCTCCTCTTTTTTTTTCTCCCTTTCTCTCTCTCTCTCTCTCTCTCTCTCTCTCTCTCTCTTTCTCTCTCTATCTATCTATCTATCTATGTACCTATCTATGTATCTCTTTTGAAACATTGCTTAGATAAACTTGGCCTAATAGGTGGCGAACCGCAGCCTCAATATCCACAATATGCATACATGCCACCACCACAACAGCCACCTCCACAACAGTCTACTGCGGGAACAGGTAATACCGGTGGCACATCACCATTGGTCGATGATGGTCAGCAAGGCGAAAAACAATCCCAAAAAGTATAAAAAGCTATTATCGTCAATAATTATTGATTTCCAATATGAGAGAAAACGAAATTGCTTAAGAAAATTTACTTTTTTTTTTTTGTTTTGCAAATACGAAAATAAAACATACAATAAATAAACCTATACAACATTTACATGCATTCATACAGACATAAATCATTAAACGTTAAACTAGAAGAGACGAAACGCAAAAAAAAAAAAGAAAAGCAAACCCAAGAACAACTTAGACAACTAGAAGAACAAATTTGTGGCGGAAGGAAGAAAAGTTACAGAGAACCATTTCCACTTAAATTTACTAAACTGGCAGTTACAGTCACAGTGACAGTGATAGTGACAGTGATAGCGACAGTGATAGCGACAGCCATAGCCACAGCCACAGCCACAACCACAGCGACAATGACAGCGACAATGACAGCAACAATACCAGTAAACACGGATAGAAATACTTTTAAACACGGAATAACTTTGGATTGACATACAAATGAAATAAAATCAATTACTATATATATATATATATATATATATATATATATGTAAATTTGCATATATATATATATATATAAAATGACAGTAAAGTAAAAAAATATAATAACAATATTTGCGCAGCGATGCAAGATTTAAACACTTTTTAGAGACAACAACTAAAACAAAAACAACAACAGAAACAGTAACAACAACAGCAAAAACAATACTAAACAAAACATAACCAAAAAAACTATATTTCAATAAATTTATTGCAAAACAAAATTTTCAAATAAACGAAAAATATTATTAAACTAAATAAATGAAATATAAAATAAAAGGCAAAAAAAAACAAAAAAAAAAAAAAAATAGAAAGAAAGAAAAAACATGAACAACAGCCACAAAAATTATGGTATAATCATATACATACAAATATATATATATATACATAATAATATAAATGGTGTAAAAACAAAAAACCAAATATAAGAAAAAAGAAAATAATTAAATGAATAAAAAAAGAAAAAAAAAAAACACTAACAACTAATTAGAGGAAGAAAAAAAAAAAAAAAAAAAAAAAAAAAAAAATAAAAGAAAAGAAATTCAATTTGTTTGCATTAATATTAATTTCATTTAATGAAAAATCAACTAAATAAAGTAAAATTATATTAAACGAAAAACCAAATGAGCTGAATGTATATATATGAAACTTATTGCTGATGGTAGGCATCGTTGCAAAACAAATACACATATATATATATGTATATGTATTTATATTTGAAAAAAAAAAACTCCTTTAAAGATCGTAAGTTATGTAGAGCGAGAGCCGTGCAGTTATTGAGAATATATTAATTACTTTAATCAAATTTTATTATTATTCTTACTATTACGTATACAAGAAAAAAAAAAAAAAAAAAAAAAAAAAAAAAGAGAAAGAAAGAAAAGTCAATCACGCCAAATCATCTTCCAACCTCATGACTACTATTATTAATACTTATTGTAGAAAACCAAGTGAGTAATAAAATTTCTGTCATAATAAGTACAATGGATCTTTTCTTTTCTTTTTTTTTTTTTTTCTTTTTTTTCTTTTTTTTTTCCTTTTTCTTCTTTTTGCTTGTATTCTTATATTCACTTTCTTACACCCATAACTTGAAGGTGATTTTATCATGCCGATGCATAGCATACCATAGCATATATACAAAAATGTCGCAGCAATATTGTAGAAGCTCAACACACACATACAAACACACACATACAAACACACACACACACACACACACACACACATGCACGCGCGTATTTTTGATAACAGAAAATTTTAACGGCTCCGTAGCGGAGATCTTCTCTTGCAGAAACGTAGTGAGAGGTGTTCAAGATGTTCGTGACATTTGAATTTTTTTGTTTAATTTTTCACAAACAAAGGCACACACGCTAAAGTTCCGATTAGTTAAAACCTAACTGAAGCTATCGCACTATAGAGGCTTTACTAGTTTGGCAAAGATCGCGCGCAACATATGTGTGAGCGGTTCAGCTCGCCATTGACAAGAAAGTATTTCGCAACTCTTGCAGAATATGCATATTTGCGCATTGATAGCTTACACCGTCTCGAACCTGGCCTTCACAGGTCGAATATCTCGAAATGAGTGGATAACAGGATACGGTTTTCGCTTATTGCGTCGTGATAACCGTAAGTAGCGCAAGTAATCAACGAATGGCCATTGCCGCCATTGGCAGTTATATCGTCCTCAACATAACGTATGGAACTTGCTTGTTTGTCTTAATTGCCGTTAACTAGTATTCTACACCACAACTATTTGACACGTAGTGGATAAAAAAGCATCAGTCCAAGAGGCGTGGGAGAAACTAATGTAATATTTTTCCAAAACTAAATTCTTTTTTTTTTCGTTTATTGTCAAAAAAAAAAATGATTTTTTAATTGATCAAAACGTATATAGAAAGATGATTGTGAACGTAAGAAAACCGCATATAACGCATATACACGTCCATCCGTATGTTCATTTTGGCGCTTTCGATGTCGATATAAAAAATTCAAATTCATTGGTCGTTTCTCTTTATTACACATACATAATAAGTCTATTATTAAGTAAATTTAAATTTTATTGCATAGAAATTATTCCCTGCACAATGCATTTGCTTTTTACAAAACGTATTGATTGCTTTACTTTAACAAATCGGGATTTCCGTACGCTGTACTTGTATCATATATTAGCTATACTGTAATAGCAACTCTGTCATAGAGTCATAATCATTGGTGTTCGTTCGACGTGTAACAAAAGGCCTAGTCTGCAATAATTATACGCTACAGCATTTGTGTAATAGGGTATATTAATATCGCGGTCGTACGTAACACGCACAATGGCTTAAGGAGGTAATGGCGCATCTTTTATTATACCGATCGCTCCAGAATCATAAGCTGAATTGATCTAAGCCTATCTGGTCATCTAAATTTGTGTTCAATCTACAGATCGCAATTTTTAAGATATTTCATTGAAATTTGGTACAGTGACTTGTTCTACCACTTTTCAACCACTCCCCTTATAAAGCCCCATTCTGAAAAGTCGTTATAGGCAAAAAAAAAATTGCATTTTTCAAAATTTCTCAGCAAAAATGGCTCACTAGAAATATTTGGGCATTCTAAATCGGCATTAAAACTTCGGACCGGCTGGAGGAATTTTTGAACCCCCTCATTAAATGAAAATTGAAGTTCATACGACAAAAAGGTCATAGCGAAGCATTGAAAATTATATCATAATAGTAATTCAATATAAAAAAATTAACTGTATCAAATTTGGACCAGCTCGTCCTACTCTTTGGACCCTACCCTAATAAGGATTTTCACGAAAATCGATTCATTGTAGAGCAGAAAAGTCTAAGTTTTATTATGTGCCGATTGAAATTGATGGCCACTGGGAATTTCATTAAAAAAATAAGAATTGTGCGTAAGAAAAATGTGGTGTAGGGTACTTAATGAAGAGAAGTACGAGCGAGCTTTTCGATAAATGAATTTCAAGATTAGTTTATCAATAAAAGCTTGCTTTGGCTTTTCCTTTGAATCAATAACTGGATTTTTTTTGTTCGAACACCTGTCAAGTTGCAAAAACGTTCCCGTCCCACTCTCGATATATATAAGATACAAAGAAAGAAAGAAATAAATGTGACTTTTCAAATTTGGTTGGCTATGTGCATATGATTTTCGAGTTCTTCGTTTTCTCCGAAATTTCGACTTATGGGCATAAACAACGACTTACTTCGTTGCGAACTTTCTGAAGAGACGCATGTAAGAACGAATTAAATAAATAAAGAACGCATCGCTGCAAGAGCTCGCGACTATACCGAAAAGCGCACATCAGAAGTGCTTTGAGGATTGAAAAACACGCTGGTACAAGTGCATTGTGTCTAAGGGGGATTACCTTGAAGGAGACAAAATGGATGTTGATGAGTAAATACATGTTATTTCAGAAAAATAAAAAAATCACCTTTTTATTGAATCCATCTCGTACACCATTCAATTTATTTCCCCTCCGCAATCTATTGGCTTACTATCAATAAGTGAATCCACATCTGAAATACCTTGACTTGATATTGATAAACTTATCTAGAAAAAAGTATTGTTTCATTAGATGGCAGACAACTTTGCCTCTTTCCATCATTGTTCGCATTGCTCATGTGGTCCCTTTTCTCTTTTAATTATGTTACTTACTTAATATAACAATTTCTCGAAAATGTTTATAAAAAAAATGAATTTTTGCTCTTGACGCTTTTATGATAATAATAATCGCGCGAGAAAAGACGAGATTGGCGTAGTTAGATCCTTTCGAAATATTGAATTAATCAAGAAATTATGTAATTGTATAGGAAAGATGTAAAAAAACAGCCGTACATGGGTTCGAGCACTACCAATTTTCCCGCTCATGCATATGATGAGTCATCTGTTACGATTTTATTAACGTCTTTTACAGCGTCGCCGTTGTATTCCTTAAGCATTTGTTTTCATCCATCAACAAAACCGGTTTTTTGAGCCTTTGCCAAGCTATGTATGATCCAACGGAAACAAATCTTTTTCTGACATATTGCCTAAAGTTGTCTCAATCCCAAAGCAGGCCTTACATGTGGACATGGCTTTTTTAAGCCCGGGCACAGCGCCAATATTTTTTAGCGCAACAAGTGATTTTTGACGTCCTTTGATGATTTTCATCGTTAAGCGAATAGCGGTCACGACGAAACTAAACTCTTTATAGAAACTCATCATCCTGGCAAAGCATAGAAATGAGTTGATCGATACATTTTTGTCTTGATAATCAATACCGCGACCTAACTTCATATTCTCCCTGAGACACAATTTTCCAGTCACTATAAACAAAAACGATTCGTGCTCAATTGAGAAAGTATTCTGATCAAAAAGGTTAAACCTTTCGGTAGAAACACCACGTGGCACCTGAGAACGCCTAGTGCTGCCGGGAATAAAAATGTAAAAATAATGCTCCACGTACCATGGAACTTTCAGCAACTTATCCTTTGCACAATCTTAGACGTGTTTGTCCGAATGTTGTAAACAAAATTATATATATCTCTATCCTTCAAATATTCTATCAAAATTATAAATTATGCGCGTGCTTAACTATTCAAATTGTCGGATTTTGTTAGTCAATATATTTTGAAAGGCAAGTCCTTAATATTACTGATAAACATACTTAACCATTAGACGCTTGCATAACAAGGCATAATATGTTGAAATCATATTGTTTTTCCAAATCGCTTACAATAACACACATTCAATACGTATTAGTTGCCGTTGAAAGGAAAAACAAGGTAAACAAGATGATAAACCTAACACCCATTTACGGCATAATGAAAGTATTAAGCTTGTGTGCATAAACTCGAAAACGTAAATACGCACACACCAATACAGTGGAGCGTTGAAAAGCGAATGATTGGAAAAAAAAAAAAAATAAAATCTCATAGAATTTATATCGGTCGTCCGAGAAGTCTCCTGATATACTTATTTATAGAAGAGTTATATACACATATGAATAGATAAATAAGTGACGCCTTTTTGCTTAACAATATTTACCGCATATACATGTACGTGCCATTGCTCAGTGCTTGAATTAATTTCTACTGGTTTGAATTGTCGGTTCAAGAAAATGGTTTGAATTGCCTCTTGATGTAAAAAGATCGGAAGAGCTAACACCTTCCGCTACCGCGATTGAAGTGTTTATTGTATTGTCTGGGTACACAGATCGCAACACCCCGACATAACTGATGTTACATCATATTATTCTTTATTAATTGCTTTAGTAAATTCTGGATAAGCTTGTAATACATAATACCCGAATAGGTTAAAATTTCGCAGAATATTTCAGTTCACGATTTTCATCTCAGGAAATATGCACGCTTACGATAATGAAACGAGATCTTATGCGAACGGACGGAAGTGCCATCAAGGTCCATCAATTTTATCATTTAATATCATCTAAATAATTTATTTTTGAATCATCGAATTGTGTTCCGTGTAACTGTTTTGATGATATTGTCTGTTGCAACCGCTTAATCGGTTTTTTTTTTTTTATTCCTTTAGCAGTTTTTCTCAAGCATTTTCATCTCTTTCGTTTCTCACAGCAAATTTTTCTCACGTTCAAAATTAAAGCTTAGTGGCTCAAGATCGACAAGGATCTTTGTTGGGACTATGAGACAATCATATACATATATATGTATTGTAAATGAAAAATCAAAAGAGATTAATTCAATACGATATGGATTATTGAAAAAAATTAAAAACATTACCCTTGTGCCAGTCCAAGTGTTAAGTAAGTTATAATGACAACTCGTACGTAAGTTATTTTTGCATAAATTATATATTATTCATATATTGTTGAAGGTATGTGATATATACTGCAATTTACATACGGAAAATCATGTGAAAACCCTTGTCAACACCCCCCAATATCCGTCCGTACACCCCTTATGAAATAACATTTTCCTATGGATACATCATCTTTACACACTTTAATGAGTATCAATCTCAAGCTTCTAAGAGAACCACAATATATATTCTTAGCAACATGGCTGATTGCTCCTTCTGTTTGCTTTGTTTTTCTTTTCTTTTTTTTTTTTTCCTTTCTTATTGAAAAAGTATGAGTCTATTTGTTACCCTTTTCCTAAACATCGAGAAAAGAGCATACAGGATATATGTGCATTTTATGATGTACGGAGCATGCGCTTTTCATTTTTATATTTATAAAATTCGTATAAAGAAACAAAAAGCAAAAGGCAGAAAAACAAAAAAAAAAAACAAAAAAAAAAAACAAAAAAAAAACAAAAAGAAAAAACCCGCTATAGGATTCTGCTTGTTGGAATTAAATTCTTATCATTGCAATGCTTGCTTGGCTAAGCATATTTCTGTTTCCGTGTACATATATAAATAAGAAGGCATCTTTCGGCGAACATTTAGTCACTTTGTTAAAGTGTGCTTTTCGAGATTTTTATATTTAACGCAATGGCATCGCATAAACAATATTGAAAGAGTTTTTAACAAAAAAAAAAAAAGTAATTCTCAAGTTGAACGTAAAAAACGACCGTTAAAAGTCAAAATAAAAGTCGGTAAGTGGAAAATTTACTTATTCTTGGTGTGATTATCCTTAAAAATTCTTTTAAAATCTGTCAAGGATTTGTTATTGCATTCAGTAAATAAACGAAATAAAACTCAATGTGCAACTATTATATTAATATTTAAATTGTTGATTGTAACGAAAGAGAGAGCGAAAAAAAAAACTTTTTTCTCTTTCATAGAAACCTTTATGTTTTTTCCCTAAACGAGTATCTGAATGAATATGTAAAGGGTTCTAAGTCCATATAGAGAATGTATCTACGTCCAAACTAGGAGGTACATGTCCTTTCATTAAACATTCAGTATTCAGCGAACTCAAGCCTTATAAACCGCTTATTATTATTGATTAATTTATTCAATATATTTTTTTCTTTTTTTTAAATACTTATTCCTTTCTCTTCAAAATAGCAATAAAATCTCTTTCCTATCAACTTTTAACAGAGATATATGCTTCTTTGCGTTATCGGTATAATAAAAATTAATTAGGATCTATGAACGCTTCATAAAAATTTAACAATGTCCTTTGAAAGCGTACGCAACCCGTAATAATAATTTACGGGAAATATTCATTCATTCTAAACGCATTATTTACAAGATGCTTTCAACATAAACAGTCAGATATTAAAAATATGTAAAAAAAAATAGAGTAATCTGCTTTCAGGGGTTGAATATGGAATGTTGGATATAATGAAATGGATAAATAATAGATATCCCGGTCTTTAAACTTATGTAATGAGAATTCTTAAAATGATTTCAGTGTAATCGATATGTAAAAGTAAGTCGGTCAATAAAATTAAGTCGGTTTGTTGCGATGACAACCGAATATTGCAATATATAGCACTGCATAAGAATAATTCATCATATCTATCTATCATGATTATAACATTAACGAAAGAGAATTTATATATGTATGTTAAGTGGAAGGATACTTATGTCCACGTTGAGATGATATGGACGCGTGCTGCAGCGAAAATGAGTATATTGACAAACAGCGGAAATGAATATTTCAGTTTATTTGCCCATAGATGGGTTCGTTGATCTCAATTTAATATACTTTCTGCCTTTTGCTGCTCGGAATTTTTAGATTACTATTTTCAGCATTCTCGAGCAAGTATTTCTTAAGTTCAATTATTATTTGATATAATTGATGTAATATGACGAGACGTTGACATATCTTGATTAACATAATCCCTCAATTTGAAGATATTATGCTCTCTTGTGCAGAATATCGAAATCAGTTGATTGTGTTATATCCAAAATTGTGTAGGGGACAGGTATTATTATCGATTATCAATTTATTTCAAGGACCGCCTTCAAATCGTCTGTGCTATATCGGCATAAAGTTGTAGCAACGTATATAACACTAAGATTGACTACCATTATCTTTCAATCTGAAGACTTCGTACTTTCATATGCGTAATATCGAAATCAGGTGATTTTGTTGTATGTGCATAATCTCGGCACGAAAACTTCTATCAATGTATAATATTTTATTTAATTTAAAACTTTAAAGAAGTGAATGTGAGAACGTTCCGCAAGAAAAGAGATTCGGAGTTTCGAAGGCATATCAAATTTCACAAGTCCTAGCAAGCTCTAGTGCGTTTCTTGCTCTCATTTAATTGTATTGGTTACTACTACTACTATTAGTTATATAACGAAAGTCTGGATATATATGAAAAATGTGAAAGACTGAAGGACTGCTTGAAAATGAGTGATTTTGTTTCAATCAGATATTAACTGAAATAAATATTTATATTTAAAATAACATCTATTGCACCTGTGACCTGTGTGAAACGAAAGGTGCAATGAATTAAGAAAGAGAATTTGTAAAGAAATTGAAGAAGAGATATGAGGATATTATAGAAAAAGTCACATAAAAAGAATGGTAATAAATAATAAATAATAAATACTTAGTAACCGGTTCATAGAGTGCGTTTTTGGAATGAAAATAATACGCAAAAACACAAAAAATAAATAAATAAATAAATAAATATGAATAAGTAAATAAAAAGCTGCATTGAAGGTGTGCGGAAAGAAAAAGATATTAAAAACAAAATCGGTTACTAACGCAGCGTCTTTGCGTATGTATCTACACTTAATAGGAAGCCAGCCAGTCAGACGGACTGCCGATTTCATTTCATATCATAAAACAACCCCTGAATGGATAAAAATTACAAAAGTGTTTTTATTGCACGGCCTAACTGAGAACTCATTCACGCACATACAGTATTTAAGGGTAGTTTGTTTATGTAAAAACATACATGTACAAACATATATATATATATATATATATATACTCCAACTTAAAATACATGCACATGTATATTATACAAATCTCTAACGCAATAGCCGGCCCGTTCAGTATTGAGCATGCCACAGTTGAACAGCGTCATTCAGAGCGTGTGGACCTTAATTTCAATTTGGCGGAAGCAACATTTCAAAAACTTTTAAATCAATTTCCCCCAATTTCACTTCACACAGCACCCTTGTGTCGTTCTCTTAAACTCTCTCTATCTGTCTATCTCTATCTCAGACACTCGTTCAATCGAAATTCATTCGTTTTGTGTACTTTGTAAGCGTTTTGTGTGTACATACACAGAATTTCGCGTGCGTTCGTTCGTTCGTTCGTTCATTTGTTTGTTCATTTAATACGTTCGGTCCTCTTTTTACAAAGGTGTTGTTGTAACTGAGAAATCAAGAATTTCTAGTTTGGATTCAATTTACAATAAATTGAATTTTGAGTTTGTGTGAATTTGCATAAAATTATTTAACATATTTTTTGGCTAAACTCCTTGGCGAGTTGCAATAAATCAGTAAAAGTGGAAACTCCAAGGGCAGAAACTCCAATCAAAACGGAATCCGTAACAGAGGACGAGGTACCGGTAACAACGCCAACCACACCACCATCACCGTCGGCAACCGCAACAACACCGTGTTCAGGAGGAGGTGCACCAAAACCGACACCGACACCGACCCCGACGACAGCGACAGCGACAGCGACCGCGACCGCGACCGCGACCGCGACCGGGACAGCGACCGTAACTGTAAAACCAACGAGCGGACCTTCTTCGAAACGCTTCAAAATGGCCGAAAACTGCAGTAAGTGCAAAAAAGTGATTACCTCTAAGGAGACGGGCATAAATTGCAGTTGTCAAAAAAAATTCCATCGCAGTTGTGTGAATATTGATGATACCTTATTTGAAGCCATCCAAAAGAATCCGATGATTGTGTTCAGTTGCGACGATTGTCGCCAGCAATCGCCTAAAGCTATGGCAGCTAAATTGCAAGCATTAGACGAAAAATTAAATAAAGTCAGCAATGGGGTCAATCAAATACAGGGACGCATGTACCAGCAGTATTTTCAATTTGGCAACGCTAACAATCAGGGCGATGCCAAGAAGCAAACCAACAATCTAATTGTGGTCGGTAATAATTGCAATTCGGATCGTTTGCAGGTCGTCTGCGATTATGGGCGTTGGGTGCAGGTTGGCAAATTTGCCACTTCCACCTCCGAGGAGGATATAATTGAGCATTTGGCTCAAGAACTGAAAATCAATAAAAATCTAGTCAAATGCACTAAACTGGTTAAAAACGATGCCAATTTGGCTGCATTGTCATATTGTAAATTTAAGATTTCCATACCGGACTATCGCTTCAATGAGCTGTTCAACGAGGCTATTTGGCCCAGCGGTGTAATGGTGTCGCCCTTCACTCCACGTTCTCAGCTAAATCAGAATCGCATTTAAGTGAGGTTGGACCGTGGGGGCGGCCGGGAGAGTGGTGGAGGAGCATTAGAGACCGTTACGAGACGTCGTAGAAAGAAACGAAAAGAGCGAAAGTTATCAAAAATCGAACAGAGCGAAGCAATTGTTAAAACCAGTGAGAAAAGCACCAGTACGGAGCATGAAAATGAGCATGAGCATGAGCAAGAGCAAGAGCAAGAGCAAGACCAAGACCAAGAACCGGAGGAAGAAGAAGAAGAAGAGCAAGCTCACACGGACGAAGAATTAGAAAATGAATAAACTGCATATGAAGCATATGAACGATTTGGTAGGTCGGAGGATATTTTAAAGTTTGATTGTATTGATGGGGTGGATAGAAGTGAATACAAATACATTGATACATTGGCTGGGCCCACAACAATAATAACAGCAACAACAACAACAACAACAATTTTTCGAAAACTTTTAAGCAGTTCACAGATATGACGTTTTTTACATGCAATTGTTCTTTTTTTTTCCTCGTTTCCTTTTTTTTTCTCTCTCTATCTCTGTCTCTGTCTTTCTCTCTCTCTCTCTCTCTCTCTCTCTCTCTCTTTCCTCTCTTTTTTTAATAATTTAATACATTCCAGCAAACCAAATATAAAAAACTTAATTAATTCTTATAACAATTTGCATACGATGATGATGGTATGATGTGAAACGACAAAAAAACATTTAAACTTTCTGTGCGAAGTAAACAATTAATAGCTTAAAGAGTAAAAAGAGGACTAAAGCAAAAAAAAAAGAAAAAAAACAAAAAAAGTATGAAAAGATATGAGGAAAGCAAAACTACAGACAATTTTATAAAATACTTAAGAAAATATAAAAATAAATTTTAAAAATATTTTAGAATTTTAAAATACTTAAAACATAAACATACATACATACATACATACATACATACATACCAACATACATACATACACACATACATACATACATACACACACACACACACACACACACACACACACATCCACACACACATTTGCATACATATATGTATTATTACAGATAAAATAAACCGAAAAAAAGAGACTTTTGAGAAAAATTTTCAATATATTAGTCATTCACCCCCAAAATGAAAGCAAAACAATACCATAGACGATAACATAGTCGTTGATATGTACATTTTTACATATAAACGTACCACCATGTTGTTATTTTGTATAGCTGTTGTACCGGAAAATTACAAAAAAAAAAAAAAAAAAATCCAAAAAAAAGAACAAAAATTACAAAAAAAAGAAAAAAACCGAAGAAAAAAGAAAAAAAAAAAAACAAAGAGCAAAAAGCAATGGATTTAAAGCATATATAGACAATATGTACAACAATCCGAAAAGTCGCTAGTGCGGTATGAGAATTCAACAAGAGAATTATTTGGTCATTAATTAGAGCAGAGAAGCAGAGCAGAAAGTAATATTAAAGTAAAAATGTAGGAGAAGTATATGAATGAATGAATGAGAATCCAATCGGAAGGCTAACGATGAATGAGAAACAAATGTATTGAAATAATATATGAAAAAAAAAAAAAAAAAAGAAAATAAAAAAGAATACAATTTTTCTTAATATTTCCAAAGATTTGCTTTAAAAGTGTAATTTGTAATTACTTTTCGATTCACTGATAAAATAAATAATGTAATGAAAAATTCAAATTTTTGAATTCAATAAGCATTCCAAGCAAAATCCTTTATTTATTTATTTTTTAAGAATTTTATCCTCTTTTTTTCTTTTCATTTATTTGGTTTTCCTTTTTAATTCCCCCCACCCATCACATGGGAATGGACGATGTACTTCTTAACTAAAGCTGATGGGTTGTATGAGGATAAAAATAAAATGAATGAATGGCAGGATAGTTAATAGACTCGGAATTACGATGCAATTCCAAATGCAGATAAACACAAAGCCGTCTGTCCTGCAACTTTCCTAATTGTTCTTTATTTCGTTTTTTTTTTTTTTTTTTTTTTTTTGGGGATTAAAAATTTCCGGGAACAACCAACCAACCTTTTTAAAAATTAAAAAAAAAAAATTTTTTTAATTTTTTTTTTTTTTTTTTTTTTTAGTGGAAATTTATTCGCAATCGAAAAGAAATCCAAATCGTGAATAACGCATCCATCTAATGGAAGCTAAGCTACAAAGTTGATTTATGTAGGACATGTTTTCGCATATGTTTACGTGCTGCTGGGTAAGTCGGATTACGATTACATCGAAACATCGAAATATTACAATATATTTGCCTTTCTCTATTACCGTTTACGGTCTAACGCTCTATCATATGCGACTAAAGAGTCTGAGTGAATTCACACTTGTCCGTTCATTTGCGTCCCTCCTCGCCACACCCTCTCCATATCACACATTTCAAAGTCGGCCATAGTATTAATATCAAGCCAAAAAAATAGGCATGACCTGCCCGTAAATTCAATCCAGAAGCAAACGTTCAACGTACGTACTTCATAAGCCACGTTGAGGTTATGGTATATATATAAAAATGAAAAAACTGAAATTCGCTATGAATATTAATATAAAAAGGTGACGAAAATGCCTAAAGTTCGACCCGATATGTCAAATACGAAGTGATGGGTATTCAATTCGAATTTCTCTTATTAGTTTTACTTAAGATTTCTTATTCTAATAGATGAGTAATAAGCCAATGTATTTAATAAATTAATACATATATATATATATATATATATATATATATATATATTTCTTTTGTTTATTTATTTATTTATTTATTTATTATTATTATTATCATTATTTTTAATAGCTTTTTTACTCTATGAAAAGAGAATTTTTTCTATAAAATTTTTTAAAATAAAAATTATTAAAAATTTAGTCAAGCAGTATTTATATATATTTAAACTATTATATAAAATTATAATAAAAAAAGTAAAAAAATTTAACTCTCTTTTTCTCAATATGAAATGAAATTTTCAAAACTTTGGTAATGACTTTGGCGTTCGTTTACGTAAAGCAGCCAAATAATGCAAAAATCTTATATAAACTCTGAGAGAAAGAGGAAAACAATTTATTAATAAAACTGTAGTTTAAATCATTTTCAAAAAGCTTTGTCGTAATTTTCTAGAGAATTTCGTAAAGAAATATTAATAAAAGTATTACAAATATTACCAACCAAAATAAAACAAGAAAAAAAAATTATATGAAAATTATTAAATTTATGCTAAACCTTCTGAGATTTTCTAAAAAATATTAAGAAAAACTTACGAAAAAAAAGGAAAGAAAATATTAAGAAGAAAAACAAAAAAAAAGAAAACAATTTAAAATCATTACTTAGCAATATAATCTCAATCAATATAAAGTATTCATCGACATTAACACACACACACACACACACACATACGCACACAAACACACACACACACACACAACACACATAATAACACTAAAATCGATTTCGGATTTTGCTCTTTTCCCGTATATACATATACATATGCACGCACACAATTTTCTTTCGTTCCTCTTCTTTACTTCCCCTTCCTTTGATGCGGTGTATGAAAAGTGTAGATGTGCAGAAATAAAATGTCTGTCTTCTTAGAGTTTCATTTAAAATTGACAATTTTCTCCTTTCTTTTTTACCTTTTTTGTTTCCTTTCATTCTCTTCTTTCAAAAATTTATTGTCAACAAATTTTATAAAAAAAAAAAAAAAGAAAAGAAAATTAAATAAATAAAAAAAAGTTGAATACAATAATATTCACACTTGCAAATTTAACAAAATTAAAGAAAAACTGAAATTTATGTACTTAGTATACATATACATATGTACTTATTATGCATGCATGTATTTATGTGGAATTTTTAAATAAATTCTAAACCAAAAAACAAAACTTCAAAAACACAAAAAAAAAAAAACAAAAAAAAAACAAAAAAAACGAAGAAAATATTTTAACTATTCATTCGTTTTATTTACAAGCGAGGAGGAAAAGGTTTTTTTATGATATATGTGCGCGTTACCCACCGCTGACTTTGAAATGCATTGATGTGACTCCTTGATTATGTTTAGAACAAGAACCGATCACATTGTTAAACACACGTAAATTTTCCTTATTGTGCCAGCAGGCATTTGATTAATAGGAATACATTATCGAACAATGATATAAACTTAGCAGTCCTTCGGTTTATATTTACAAATTACAGAGCTACAATCGCTCTTGTAAATGATAATTATATATATATATATATATCTCGTAGCTATATATATTGGCCTATGGCTTTATAATTAAAATAATAATAGTAATAATAAATAAAAATGAAATAAAATGAAAAATTTTATATGAAAAATTCGACCTGACAAGAATGAATCAAGGGCGTTAGTATGTATGATTCGCCTTTTGTTTTATCTCAGTATAGCGAGCATCACAAACATTTTCAAGATTCATATAAAGATGTGTGATTGGGCCGGCAAAACGAAGAATCCGATGCTCTCTACTCTCTTTTCTTCTCTCAAGGCTACCAAAGCGAGAGGTTCGAAAATTCGTAAAATGCATTATCGCATAATGTCACTTATGAAGATGCATCTTTAATACCCTCCTAAGTCTAGCTTTTACCAACTGTTAGAAATCACTGTTGGAAAATCATTCTTTTTGCTTTTTTTTTGTTTTTTTTTTTTTTTTTTTTTTTTTCAAAATGAAAGACGATTTTTGTACAGCGGATAAATATATTATTATGAACAATCGAATTTGATAAATATTATCTTTCAGCAATCTTATGAATTATGTTATTCGCCGATGACCATCAGTTCATCCCATTATTTTGTCTTCATCAGCCTCAACTGACTTTCTGGAAGATGATACGGTACGTCTTCAATATCACACTTGTCGAGATGAAATTTTGGAAACCAGTTTTGGTCAATACATCTTCTTCATGCAGATTCATTTCTTGCTTAAATATCATTTTCACTTTATCGATAGTAAAAACGAAAATATGCGAGATTTATGTTGCTTTCGACTTTGCAAACAAAAATTATTCCGCAAAATCAAACGGATCTTTTCAAAGTCAAAACCTTATCATATTAGCTATCAAAATATACAATGGAAATGCAGTTAAAGTATCAAATTGGGACACTGCGGAACAATGCATATATTCTTTGTGGGGTTTAAGGTGTCGGCACCTGGCATGAACCCTTAATCAGACGCGTTCCCTAGAACCATCGGCAATTTTTCTAGTTCAATTGAGGACCCAAAAAGTTCAAAAGAGTACGACACTATTTATTAAAGGGGGCCTTACTACCCTGAGGTAGTGGAATAGGAAATGAATGTGGGTCATTTTCTTGCTTACTGGTTTGCGTCGAGACCTATCTGAACACTTCTTAGATAGTTCTCCACGAAACTTTGGGATGACCATAGCCACCACAAATACTCCCCGAAGGGCCATATCCAGCAGTCAGGTAAGAAGGCAATCTCCCGACGGTCAGATGGTTAGCGCACCTTCCTGCCAGGAGCAATCGTATTTCATGGCTTATCGTTCGTAAAGAATTATAGAGAGCTTTGGGTGATCTCTTACTGTACACAGCCGCAGCCACTCTTGCCTTCGGAAACTCTTCACACGTCCCGGTAGGCCATCCAAACGCTATCCTTTCTAGAAGAAACAATGCTTCCAAGGTTATCATTACACAGCATATGTCCAACTGTGCCCCAACCCTCTTAAATGTCGTTGGCCATCATGCAGTTTGAAGGCCTCCAAGAAAGAGAACTACAAGGGAGAGGAAAAATGCCCTCTTTCGATTATAGAAGATACATCCATTAGGCTTCCGAAAGAAAAGCCTGTCGCCAAGTTATAGATAGCAAATCTTAAAGCCTTCTTTGCCGTTGACTGTGCAACTCTCAAAAGTGAGAGACATAAAGCAACAATCAACTTTTATAGGGAGCACAAACCAAATAGCGTATCTGTACATCTATGTTCAGCCATTTGGGGGATCCCATTGTTCCGCTCCCGTGTTGAACAATGCAATTAAATTCACACAGAAAACTCACGAACAATCCTTGTTCTCTTTTTTGTAGATTGAAATGCAGGAAGATAAGCAATAATTGCATCAATAATTGCTGCTCTTATCAAATCTTATAATCAATACTTCCCTATCGAGAAATTACATTATTCAAGTCCATATGGATGCTAATGTCGGCAATTCAAAACCGTTTTACAATCGACTAAATATCGTGCCCAAAGTAACTATTTGATCACTTCTATCATACAAGAGAGTAATTCGTGGCAAATACTTTATATTCAATGTGAAGAGTTGTACACAACTTACACCCCCTAGAAGACATATTTGATATATGTTTCGTTCCTCGGACGCTGTTGTCCGATGTTCGTCTCACTGAAAGCTTTCAAGATTGAGTCTAAGAAAAAGGGAAAATGATCGATTCTTAGTAAACATAAAAAAGACTTTCAAACGCTAAAAGCTCTATAAAATGTTCACTTTCTGCCTCATACATATATATGCATATTATCCACATAATATCCACATAAATATTCGAGTAAGTAAAAATCACGATTATCAGATCGTTGTTCACGGATTCAATTATTTTGGTCGTAGTTACAGGGACCGATTGTGCACACAACCACTAGACTGCGTCCGCTTCCCTATCTCTTTCTCTTTCTTCATGTCTTCTCGTGTTACACAAATGGGGGACATACCCTGAGTCATTGATCTATATTAAAAAAAAAAAAAAAAAAAAACGCATTGAAAAAGTAGAACGAACAGCAGGAAATCAAAAATTTCATAGCACCCGTTTAGAGATTTTCAAATGCTCTTCAACACAGCGGGAATGCCAAAGACTAGTATGCGTATTTTCATTTGATCCGTTCAAAGCAAGAAAGATATTCTCTCCTTGAATCTTGTCCTTCAATAAAAGACTGGGATAAGCTTTGTCTGAAAAATAAATTGGAAAATTGGGATTTTCGATTTAATTTGAATGAATTTGAAATGGTTCCGGAATCGGAGACGTCTTACCGCATATGATAGCAGCAAATAATTAATCAGTATAAAATTTCATTTGTACTTTGCAGCAGAGAGACAGACGAAGGATATGTTTTATCGGCAAGAATATCCAGCTCTAAGAGATAGCACAAATCTACGGAAAAGAATCAGTGACAAATTGAAAGAATTCATAACAATTTTTGGGGGTTATGAAGCATATCATTTTTCGACATTTACAAATTTTGGAAAGTGGTTACATAGACCAGTGGATGCTTCCGCCTTGGGAATTTTTCGGATCCTATATGGTATCCCTTATTCTCTTATTCTTATTTTTTTAATGTATATAATTTAAATATTTTTTTTTAATTCAATATTTTCAAGGCTTAATTATGTTAATTGATTTAGCGGAGGAGAGAGGCGGCGGTCAAATGGATGTACGTTTTGGAGAACCATTAAAATGTCATTTTCCTTTATTTGGAGGGCTAAAGGCGTTTTCGTTTCCAACGATGGGCTGCATTTATATGATCATGTGGTTTGGAGCAGTTGGCATTGCATTGGGTTATCGTTTTCGGCTAAGTTGTTCAGCCTACATTTTACCCTATTGGTATATATTTTTACTAGATAAGCCGTCATGGAATAATCATAGTTATTTGTTTGGCTTGATAGGCGCCATGTTACTATTTACCCAAGCTAACCGCTATTGGTAAGAATTTCATATTTGAGTTTAAGAAATCTTTCAAATTCAAATTTTTAGGGCCTTGGACAAATATTTGAATCCCAATCTTCCAAGTACGGTACCATATTGGAATTATTTTTTAATTAAATTTCAATTTTTCATATTATATATGTACGCGGGACTAAAGAAATTTTCTCCAGAATGGTTGGCCGGTTATGCTATGTCTTCATTAAGCCACCATTGGGTTTTAAGCCCATTTTGCTGGTTTTTGTCTTACGAAATGGTTGATTTATTAATCGTCCATTGGTTTGCAGCCATCTTCGATTTTTCCATAGCATTTTTTATGACTTGCGAATTGACTCGCGTGTGGGCCACGCCATTCATGTTACTATTTCATTTAATGAATTCGAGGCTCTTCGTTATAGGTTTGCCAGAGTCAATCAATATATATTTTCCTTTAATTGAAATTTTCAATAATTTGCAGGTATGTTCCCATGGGTTTGCCTGGCTCAAGTGCCCATGTTTTATGGATGCGATTGGCCCCGCAAAATAACGCGTCTAAATTGTAAACATTTATCGTTTTGCATACGAAGGCCGGAAGTTGAAGGCAAACATAGAAATGCTGAATGCAAAACAGATTCGACGAAGTCCGATATGGATAAAAATGTTCCTGATAATTCGAGCACGCGTTGTTTAAAGCTAGAGAAATACCAAACCGCAAATATGAATCTATTTCAAAAATGTCGCACTTTGTTAGTCTTATTTTATTGCTGCCTGCAGCTATTCCTGCCTTATTCTCATTTCATAACCCAAGGTTATAATAACTGGACAAACGGCCTGTACGGCTATTCATGGGATATGATGGTTCATTCCTATGAAACGCTAGAGGTGCAAGTCAAAATTGTCGACAATTTAAATCAACAAGAACATTATATGGATCCTTATGCATTTACCGAATACGACAGATGGACAAAGTACGCTGATATGGCCAAACAATACGCTGAGTGTATACAAAAAAATTTACACCGACTTTATTTAAAAAAATCCAACGCAATACCGCTCAAATCCTTAAATATTTCAATTTATTTTGATGTTTGGTGTTCGATGAATGGTCGTTTAATGCAGCGGGTATTTGATCCTCGTGTTGATTTAATGACGGCAGAATGGTCCCCATTTAAGCGAACTGCTTGGTCTCTTCCATTGCTAGATGAGTTTAAACATATTCGCCCCAAGTTACTGACCATAAGCAACGAGGTTTATAACTGGAATAATGCTACTGATGTTCTTTTTGTAGCCGATTATCCAAGTTTAACTTTGAAGAATATATTGCCGCCCGATATTATTAACACTACGCTGACAATTCTTGAGGGCAACGTACGTTATGCTGAAATGCAATTTAACGAGAGTTATTTTCTAACTGCTGGCAAATCCGTAACCATATCCGGCGGTGTAGAGTACCGCGTTACTACAGTTGGTTTAACTCCCGCGATTTATATGATAACCTATACAAATAAAACGATATTAGAGGATATCCTAACCGTGGGAGATAAAGACAATATATCGAAGAAATCTTGGTTGCCACTGTTGCAAGAATTTAAGGCCAGATTAGAAAATTATAAACGCTTCCTGCAACATATGGGCAATTGTGTGCTGTACCTGATGTATGGCGTACCCATACCTTTGCAACTGAGAGAAAAGCATATTAACCTGACATAAAACTTCCTCGCATCGCTCATGTATAAATTTATTAATGCATTTAAAGTTTTTATGTTTTGCTTCCGAATAAACTAAATATGTAATAAATGTAACACAAGTTGGAGAATTATATTCGGCTGCGCCCAAAACGTCTACGTACACGATCTCTATCTCAAAAAAAAAAAAAAAAAAAAAAAAAAAAAAAAATGCTCAAAAAAAAAAAATTATGGGGTTTGATACTTTTAGGTGGGTATAGCAGATTTTTTTTTTTTTTCAATTTCTATACATACACGTGAGGACCATTTACAAAATACATGTTGCAAAGTTTTCGTTGCGGTCTTTGTTGCTATAACGAGTTGCTATAATGTACATTGTTGTGCTTTTTGAAAAACAGAGATTTCTTCCAATGTCTTTGCTAAACATCAAACCGATATATCTTCATTTCTGCGGAACAGGAGTATTTTTATGAAGGAAATTGCTTATAAGGAGTTGTTTAAATCTATTAACAATTTGATCAATAATATATATTTATACGGATTCCTTCCGCATCTTTTGCTGGTTGCAATAAAAACAATTGCAACTGGAATTAATTAATAGATAGAGAACGTTTCGATAAAAGATGGAAGAGTGTAATGAAGAGCAATACCTTTACGAATCAATCATTAAACCTTCTATTCAATTTTTGCAACTTTTAATCAATTGTTTACAAATTGCTCATTTTTTATTTATTTATTTTTTTTAATTTTTTTTATTTAATTATGTTTACCTAAGTTTATAAATTCTATATGTACAGGAGAAGAAACATTCTTATCTCTAAATTCATTTTTACTCATCAGTGAAATGTACCGTAATTTACTTCTTTTTTTTTTTTTTTTTCTTTTAAAACTTTTTTACGTAATAAATAAATGTTTTTAAAATTAAAAACTTTCTACAAATTTTTCTGTGGTTTCAAAAAGCACATAAACATAGATATCGACATTGCTTAATTAATAACGAGGCAGTTCGTAACATTTCGTTAATATAGCTTACTTGAAAATATGTAAATGTGTGTGAATATGTACATTTTAGTGTTTATATTGCATTTTTGCTTTCTTAAGCAGATGTAGTTTAGGATCAAAATTGCTGCGTTTGTGTTTCCCATAAACGTGCGTATAGACCATTTTTCTTAAGCAATTCGGCGTGATTGCCCCGTTCGCCAACACGACCGTTTTCAAGTACTAAAATCTCATCGGCATCCATGACCGTAGATAAGCGATGAGCTATACAAATACTTGTACGTCCTTTAGTCGCACGAGACAAGGCTTGCAAGATATTCTAATAATGTTGTAAGAAAATTTGAAAAGTTTCACATATATCGCAGTTACGAGGTAGGTGTTAAGTAGATTTTGCACTCACATGCTCGGTTATGGAATCTAAGCTGCTAGTGGCCTCATCAAATATTAAAATAGGCGCATTTTTCAATATGGCCCGAGCTATCGCTACGCGTTGTTTCTCTCCGCCCGACAATTTGAGACCCCTTTCGCCTACCTGAGTTTGATATTTTTTAGGCCAACGCATGATATTTTCATGCAAATCAGCCATACGAGCAGCGTTCTCTACCTCGGACATCGGTTTGCTGAGATTGCCATAGTGAATGTTGTGTAAAATGGTATCGTGGAATAGAACAGAGTCCTGAAAACGTAATAGGATAAATTCTTAGGAATCAATTGCTTAACTTATATAGTTGTCAACCTGCGGCACTACAGCTATCGTTTTTCTTAAACTCTCAATATCCACTTTAGAGATATCCTGACCGTTAATTGAAATAATTCCCGTATTTGGCTCAAAGAAACGAAATAGCAAACGGACCATAGATGACTTTCCTGATCCTGAACCACCTACGAAAGCAATATTTTTACCAGCCGGTATCGTAAACGATAGATCTTTGAATATTGGTTTGCCAAGTTCATATTCAAACGATACGTTTCGAAATTCAATGGAGGCGTTAGTTGGACCCAATACCAACGGAGGAGCGTTAATTGGCGTCCGCACACGGCTGTCTACATTCATTAACGTAAACATTGATTGCATGTCCAATAGAGCTTGGCGTACCTCGCGATATACACTTCCTAGAAAACCGAGAGGTATGCTCAGTTGAAAGAGCAAGCCATTGACCATAACCAAGTCGCCGACAGTCATATTGCCTTGGGCGATTTCTTGGGCCGCCAACACCATTATCAAACTAAGAGCTGTACTGAAAATAGCATTTTGTCCAAAATTTAAAAGCGCCAAACTAGTACTGGTTTTCAAACTGGCCGATTCATATTTCTTTAGAACGTCATTATAACGGGATGCCTCGAACTTTTCATTGTTAAAATATTTTACAGTTTCATAGTTGATTAAAGAATCTACAGCCTTGTTACCGGCCTCGTTTTCGGCTTGATTCATGTACACGCGAAACTTAGTCCGCCACTGCGTAACCGATAAGGTATAAGCAGCATAGACACCCACACACCCCATAGAGACGCCGGCAAAAGCAAGGCCACACTACGACAAAAAAAAAAAAAACAAAAAAAAAATACCTAAAAGGAAATATTTACAAAAAATTTTATAAAAAAAACAAAATACCTTTAAGCCTAATATACTGGAAACTAAAGCCAATTCAAAAACAGTGGGCACTATGTTGAAAACCATAGCAGATAGGACAAAATTAATTCCCCTGGAACCGCGATCAATCGTCTATAAAATTGAACATTTTAAGTCAGTAGTTTAAAGTGTTATTAAAAAAAAAAAAAAAAAAAAAAAAAAAAATAAGACCATAAAGCTATTAAAAAGAACAACCTTAGATAAAGCCCCAGTTTGTTTATTCAAATGAAAGGCCAAGTCCAAGTGATGTAAATGTAAAAAAACGTTCGTGGCTATCTTGCGTATGGAATGATGAGCGACTTTGGCGAAAACAGCATTACGTAATTCATTAAAACCAGCAGCGCAAGCACGAGCAATGCCATCTAAGGAATCGATATCAATAAAATCAACACCATTTATTTAATTAGTTACCCGGAACTTACATCCTATTAACATGGCAGTAGCTACGGATAATACAGTATCAGTTGGCGTGTCCATTGTCAAAGTGCCCAAAGTATCTACGGCCCCTTTAAAAAGAAATGGTACGCAAACCGTCAACACCTTGGAACCAGCTAATAAGCCCAAAGATATAGCCACTCTTCAGATTAGAGAAGGTGTCAATAGATGAAAATAAATATAGCCCAAAAGAAAAAATATTATCATTTTTTTTTACCTTTTTCTCACTAGGGCATCCTCTTTGGGCCATATATAAGCCATCATGGCTCTTAACATATCCTGTGATGTGACCTCAGGTGCATCCAGTTTACCCAGACTAGTACCCCCATCACCAATACCTCCTAGATGAATGTGACATTGTCGTAACGGTGGTTGTGTTTGGGTTTTAGGCGTTTGTACTTGCTGGGCTGGACCTGTGGGGATTTACTGAATTCAACAAAGTAAGATCCCTACAGGGCCATACACACGCATACACAAGCACAATTTTATATAATTTGCAATAAATCATAATAATCGTTAAAAATAATAAATTTTATATTAAGCAATCAAATAAATGATTAAAAAAAAAAAAAAAGAAAGAATAACTTTTAGTTAGAAATTGAAAAGAAAATTAACTTGAAACACATAGTAATCGCTGCAAAATAAAAATAAAATACAAAAATAGTGTTTTTCAAAATGAATGCTTATATGATTTATTTGACATTGATTCCAATCAATGGAACAATATCCTTTAATTACTTCTAAACAACTTTAAATCTGGATCTAAGTAAAACATCGAAGCGTCTCTTAAAGTGCTACCATTATCTTCCAATCTTCTTTATACGTTATATTGCTTATATTTTAATGTTCTTTAACCCAAATCCAATTGATTTGACGGCCATTAAGTGTTCTTTCAAAGTATTTATATTGACAAAATTTCATCCTCCTTGTCATGTTAATAATCTGTTCTTGCTACTACGGCTCAAGGCTAAAGTTTTTATTCATTCGCAGTACAACGCTTTTCCAATTCTTCCTCCTTTGCAGTCTTATAAAAATGACTGCATTAAAGAATTCGGCTTTCCGTGAATGCACATACGAAAGAATACGTTTTTGGAAAAAAAAAAAAAAAAAAAAAAAAAAAAAAAAACCGGAAAATATTGAGTTTTCACTACTTTACTGAGGGCTAAATGTTACCAAATGAGTCCAAAGTCATCGGTAATTTTTTCGAATTTTCTTACGAAACATCATCACCATCATTGGAAGAAATTCTTTATACATTTTTCTATATTCATTAAGGCAACACAGCGGCTTTCGCAAACGATAAACATTTCTGTAGAGGGCAAGGGCTCTTACTTAATTACCTTTCTTAATTTCTTGAAAAGATTAGCATAGACTATGGCAAAAAATATATATTGCTTCTTTAGAAACTATCAAAACTCGATTATAAAGGTCGTTCACGCTTATGTGGTTCGCTAGAGATTTTTAAAACCACTCGATCAAGAATTGATTTACGGTAAGTAATCTCAGATAGTAATCGACTTTTATAGACAACATTGCCAGTAAATTAGACATAGATTTAATACTGTTTTAACGAAAGTCATAAATCTCTTTATATATCACACAAAAGTTTAAAAGAAGAAAAGCACCCTACTTTTTACTCTGATGCAACATTATTTGCTTGCTATTCAATTGCTCATATATTTTTACCTCCCTTCGAATACTTTCAGGGACCACTTAGTTATCCCTAGTATAGTAATTAGCGCTCGCTAACGCTGATGGGTATTTACTTAGTTCCAGCTTTAAATGCTTAGGTTGGTCCGTTTTTAATGATGATAAAATTGGTGAAATCAGTTTATTTTTTTTTCTTTTTTTTTTAACTGAAAAAGAAACATCGTAAACATGCTTAACGGCAATCGGTGCTCTAAACAATATCAAAATCTCTTTGAACTTACATTCAACGGTTCAACAAGAACAGAGATATATAGCTCTTACACATGTATATATAGTATTACAAACCAGTTTAAAATTTAATTCGAAAAAGAAGGATTTTACCATTAAATTAAAGAAAAACGGGATAAAAAAAAGTACTGACGTAAAATATATATATATATATATATTGTATGCATAAGTTAGATTTATGTTTACAAACAAAAAAGATTGAATCCCCCACCCAGATGTACAGTACTCGTTAGTTAAAGTTAACTCGGTTAAGTCTCGGTCTGACGTTTATGACACCGTACAATAGTTTCGTGTTACCTTTCAATTGCAAATAATAAGATTCGTTATAAATCTCGGGTTCACGTTATTATAAAATTACGATTTTTAATAGGTAATGAGTTTTTGTCCAATATCTAGCTTGTTACCTAGACGGATATTAAGAATTTTTGCTTCTTTTTTTTTTTGTTAGGTTTATATTCGTTTTGACGATACAAACAAAAACAATTTTTCTGACAATTATTTCACCACTTTTGAGCTAGGATTGCTATCATCTATCTAAGCTACGCACATAAGCTTCCTGTAAAGGCGTTGTGATCGTATGCCAGCAATATTCACTATTATCAAGATACATATGCCTTTGTATAAATTAATTAATATATAATATATAATAATTAATGTTTCCATCTGAAGATATTAGAAGAAAAGCTTCAAGACGAAATTTTTAGTTCCAAACCAAATTTTAAGCTTGCATATTTAACGAACTTTACCTTTTACCTTTACCTTTACTACCGTTGCAACAAGTATAATGATAACTATGAACATTTAATTAATGTTGCGTTTTGTCAGGTCCGACTGAGTGGCCGAGTAGGCAAAGAGTCTCGACTAAGAACTTAGTGATCGTGCGTTCAAATCTAGAGCGGTTTGAGAGTTTTTAATAAAGCCAATAGCCTTTAGCTGCTAGTGCTTTAAGACTTAGAATTTATTCTCCGGCTATATTAATAATAATAATAATAATAATAATAATAATACATTTTGTCACTTGCCGAAAAAGTTGAAATATTTTTAATAATCACTTCCTTACTTATTGAATATTAACAAACTTAATATGAAAAGTGTACCCTAAAGTCTAGGTGGTGGATATAACAAAAAAATATATATATATTTACATATATATATATACGTATATATATATAAATAAATAATAAAATTACCTTTAGGCACTTTCTTAAGGAAAACTCCACCAAGCAGTTTGTCGGGCGTGGGAGTAAAAGGTGTCACCTTCTTTCTCTCCGTTGTTTTTACAGAAGCGCCATCGCCCACACTGCTAAAAGCAGTACGTGAACAAATTAACTAATTTGGAGAAATAGGGAAACAAACTTATTATCTATGTGTAGTTATTTATTAAATATACATAAATATCTATTCGTAAAGATTTGACAAACATTTCTTTAAATACTTTAAACTCTCTTTTAAATAACCTACAGCTACCAATCCAGCTGGTGTTAGAGACTTAAGCGATTCTAAATCATTTATGCATATTTGATATTCATTCATTTTAAAACTCAACAAGAGCTTCACTTCCTCATTTACCGCCTTTAAATTATCGGATGTGCCAAAGGCAATTTGATTCAAAATATTGGTAAAGTGACTTTCTTCATGAAAAAGTAGATGCAACACCACCCGAAGATTGTGCGAAATGCCTTCTTGCCAGTGTATAAATAATTGATCAGTAAGATTATGATCTCTTATGAACTTAAATTTATTACTATGAAACGTTTGCCCTTTAAACGAATACTCACGACGTAGAAAGTTCTCTATATCATTTGAGGAAAACTCGAAGTAATCATGCTGATTATCGATCAAAGTGAAACCGTACTCGATAAGTAACTTTCGATTCGTTAAGCAACCGTAACTAATAAAAAGTTCCTGTTGCCTCTTAATCTTTTTTAAAGGACTTTCTTCTAGGGTGATAATAAATTCTAATTTTTTATCGCACGTATTAAATATTAAGTCAGGCTGGGTTTTTACTAAATCGGAATGATTAAACAAATCCAAAAGCGGTGCCAAGGCCATGTTGCAATCCCCGGCGATAATAGGTTGAAAAAAATTGTTCTCACATTTCAATTTTTTAACAGATATGTGAATGCTACGTGTATTCACTACAAAATAAGACCAACGAAAATCTTGTAGCGTATATAATTGTTCAAAATCATTGCTATGAAAGATATAGTTCAGATTTTGATAGGCTTCTTTGATTTCGCGGTTTTGTTTCACCGTACACAGTAGTATGGCCTCCGGCAAACATTGTAACTCATTTATTGGGCAAAAATATGGATTAGTAAAGTTCAGAGGTAATGACGTAATATAAGCTTCCAAGGGTGAAGAGCCCTTTAGTTTGCTATGATATAGTACATAAAAAGCCAATAAAGTTTGAAAAGTTATCTTATGTTCCTTAACAAATATTGCGTTATTAAAATTCTTTTTAAAATTCGCATCATTTTCAATGGTGTTAATAGTTATGAAAGATCTAACGGGTAGACGTATTAAAATTTCTCCTTCTTCAAGATTTTTGGTTTTAGAACACAAACCACGTCCAGTGCCAGAAAAATTGCGCGCTGTCAATTGAGTTTTATTTTGCCAACCGAAAGCCATCAAATATTTATAAAGATCTGATAAGAAGCTATTTCTCTCTCCAGCCGAAGGTTGCATCTGTAAAGCAAGTTTTTGCCGTTGTTTACGTAATCGCAAAGTTCGTCCCATGTTGATAAGTTCAGATCTTTTTCTATTACTTTTTGCAATGGCAATGTTGTCTTTCTTTATTTATAACGTTGCAGTATGTGTTGTGTTGGACCTTTTTTAAAAATTATTTTTAATCAAAATTTCTGTAAAGACAAGAAACGAAAGTGCGCTGTTTAATTAACTTAATCATTACCTGAACTTTTCGTTTTTTTTTTTTGCAAAAAAAGGAGCAACGCAAAATTAGAAATTTATCTCCTTAGAGTTGCACTTTTAAGAGCTTAAGGCTCTTCCTATTATGTCATGCTAATATTGCCTCTGGGTTTTCTAATCAATTTAAGCGCCCCACATCTTGCAAATGTGCCAAAAAAACTTAATAACGGAACTAATTTAGATTGGTGGCATTAAATCAATTGGTTTAATGTTTTCTTAAATGATTTTGAAGCTAAACAAATTCGAGAATCTTTCACGGCAGCCTGTAAGAAGCAAAAATAGTTAATTCAAATTGATTCGTAAACAAGGCCTTACGTTAAGATTTTTCTATTCTGCGCTTGATGACTGCAACATAATAAAATAATATAAATTCTTCGCTTTCAAAATTTTGCATTCTACAACAAGCAATGCAGGCTGAATTTTAATAGTTGCAAAATTTTCTGGCAAATATTAAGGAAGTTTTGAACTCTTGCAGCGTGTTATAAATAATTTCTTCGCTAGCACACCACTTCAAATTTGCAAAGCTTTCTAATAAAAGGCCAACACAACACATTTTTAAAAAATTCTTTGCCGGACCCTTTAATCCAAACATTTCTAACAATCTAGATATTTTAAACAAAGATTACGAAATTCATAATTACTTTGCAAGATAGCTCTTAAATGCAATGGCCTTGAAAACTTACCAAAGTTTTTGCTACACGTTGGCCGGTGATATGATTATTGCTGTTATTCACGCTTGACAAGAGGAGTTTATCGTGACATTTCGTTTTACTGCAAATCCGTGCCAAATGGACCAGTCCAGCCATATTTTGTTAAATTTAAAGAACTCCCACGAAAAGTCCAAATTTTTTCTTCCGTAGCGTTTCTGTCCTATTATCTACGTTTTCTATCTATGCTGTCAGATGTACAAAAACTAATAACATGTGATTATCAATATAAATTGTTTATTTAAATGCAGGGTTGTTTTAAAGAATATAATGTTGAATGGGTTTTTAAATATTTTTAAGTAGACGACACTTTATGATTTAATTGATAAATCTATATCTATATTATATCAATCCATAAGTTATAACAGATTTTCTTAGAAAATAATGTTCTGAGGAACATATTAAATGGAATATTTAAATAAATATAAAGCTCGATACGTTGCTTTCTTTGCTTTTCTTTGATTTAACGAGTTAATTTTTTTTAATACATTAGCTAAAATCGCGTTCAAATCATAAAATTGATAATATGATTAATAAATGAAATAAAAGGACATATGCAATTTAATTTATTTATTTTATAAAAATATAGTAAGTAAACTATAGTCGAGGAGCAAAATTATGTCATTTCCCATCAGCGGTCAAAGAAAGTTACAACATTTAATTTAATCATCAAAATTTACATCATAATACTCCCTAGTTATCTCGTCACATATGCTTTTCGTATATAAAATATTTTATCTTTAATTTTCGAACTTAGATTTTATTGATTCAGATGTGTTGTCCGTAAATTTTAAGCGAAATTCAATAAAATCCAGTGTTCTCTCACCACCAAAGTCGTTCTCTTTAAATAGGATACAACGTATATTACGTATAACTTTGCCGTATTTTCTTGTAAAATCTGTAGACAACAAAGATGAACTTTAAAGAACTTGAAAGTAGAAAACTGAAAATTCTTTTTCGAAAATTTTCCATTATCAGGTCGAAAATACCATCCATAAAGCAAGCCTTAATTCACATAATGCCAGCCAATTATAATGCATGTATTTATAAGGGGTTTGCTGATCTGACAAATGAAGTAAACTTTAAAAATGTATTTATTTACTTCTTGAAAATGTAAGTTTATTACTTTTTATGTGGCGGTGTTAACGAACTCTCCATCCGTGTAGTTCGTAATTAGGTTATTAAAATTACATATTATGTTCAAATTCCCAGAGCAGCCCTATATGTGTAGTTGAGAGAAAAATTTTATGTACATGTTTTATATTCCACTTGAATATAATTATTTGCGCCTTTTTTTTTTTGATATAAAAAAATATTTATTTAAAGCATGGTAATGTAGTCAGAGCGAATAAAGGAAAAACGACGACAAAAGTTGTCCACACTTGGCTGAACTTAAAAGTATAATGGAAGCCGTAGATCCCTTTAAAATAAGAATCTATGATGGTTTCCATGCATTCATTTTTTGTTAGATTGTTTTAGTATTTCCAGAAGTTAGGATTTTGTTCCATACGCCTTTGAAAATTCGTATACCAGTTCTGCAGAGTGGATAGCGGCACTAAAGTTTCATTACTCACATTTACAATAAAACTAGAAACGTAGTTATAGAAATTCTCCAACATCTTTTGACTAAACTGCAAATTGGCGTTAGCGTTAGACTGAATAGAAAACGAAGATGTAATCACTTATTCCTTAGTCCTTATTTATTCAAAACATGTGTTATATTTGACTTACCACAGCTGGTGTTAATTGGCTTATGGCAATATCCGGTTCCACCGATATTCCAATCTGAGCAATGTGTGAAATCTCCTGTGCTCCAAAAACCATGGCATTCTCCTGAGCCTCTAATTCGGGGGCTTTCTTTAGTTGAGAGATTTTAAATATAGCCGATGGCTTAGCATTCGATATATGACCTAAATATTGCCAGGTGGGTGCCGAAATGGCATCGGGCCAGCTAAAGTAAACCGCCGCCGACATGCCTTCTGGTAACGGCTGCACACCAGTTAGAAATACCACAATGTAGTTAACGTGATCAATATCCGGCACATTAATAAGCAGTTTATTTTCGTCAACTGGTGTAAAATCAGTTTGAGGCTGACCGCGAAAGAATTTTTTGAGAGTTAACAATTTTAACACAATATGACCGACGAAATACTTACCAATCTACCTGATATTAATAGTCCAAACATAATTTTGTCAATGCTTTTCTTCTCACCTAAAATAAGTACCCTTGCAAATGGAAACGGAAAAAAGATCTAGAAGTATTTTGTATAGAAGAACGTTTGTATGGAACAACAACAACCCCACCACAAACTTAAATAAACATATGATTATGTAAAGCAATGTTGCCAGAAGCAGAGAAAATAGAAAATACGGGGTTGTCAAAATACACCTTTGCACTGCTGTAAGACACAAACCACAAATCCACAAATACTTTCTGCAACTCCCAATCGGCTCTCCACAGCTTTTCAAATGTATTATATATAATATCTGCTGCAGCCCGCTTCAGACTGTTTGTTAAAAATTTATAATACTGTTATAAATTATGTTTAGTAAAAAAATTAAAGAATATATTATTACATCATGACAATTACATAGGCACGATAAATTCATTGGTAGAATAATTGGACTAAATTTTTTTTTTAAACAAAGGAAATTTAATTAGCTCGAATCAAGTTTATTTTTTCACAGGATGTGTACCAGGTTTAGATGGAGAGCTGTCGTCGGTTTTCGGCGGGGTACTATTGGGTGCAGAGGGATCAGGTTTAGATGGAGAGCTGTCGTCGGTTTTCGGC